ACTCACTCACTCACTGACTCCCCCACTGACTTACTCACCCACTCACTCAATCACTCACTCACTCACTGACTCACTCACTGACTCACTCACTCACTGACTCACTCACTCACCGACTCACTACCCCACTGACTCACTCCCCCACTGACTCACTGACTCACTCACCCACTCACCCACTGACTCACTCACCCACTCACCCACTGACTCACTCACTCACCCACTGACTCACCCACTGACTCACTCACCCACTGACTCACTCACCCACTGACTCACTGACTCACTCACCCACTCACCCACTGACTCACTCACCCACTGACTCACTCACTCACTGACTCACTGACTCACTCCCCCACTGACTCACTGACTCACTCACTGACTCACTCACCCACTCACCCACTGACTCACTCACCCACTGACTCACTCACCCACCCATCCCTGCATGTCACCACCACCTCCACCTCCTCATCAAGGCCGTGAGTGGGCAGTTCAAGGCGCTGGGCGATCAGGAAGAGTACCACACTGTACACACACAGACAAAGACAAAGGTCCACCGTGTAGTCTCTAGCAGGCTGCTGGGGCAAGTGCAGTCAGTAGTAGCAGCACCTACACACAGACAAAGCTTCCCCAGGTAGCCTCTAGCAGGCTGTAGGGGCAAGTGCTGTTAGTAGTAGCAGCACCTACACACAGACAAAGATCCCCCGTGTAGCCTCTAGCAGGCAGTAGGGGCAAGTGCTGTCAGTAGTAGCAGCACCTACACACAGACAAAGATCCCCCAGGTAGCCTCTAGCAGGCTGTAGGGGCAAGTGTTGTTAGTGGTAGCAGCACCTACACACAGACAAAGGTCACCCAGGTAGCCTCAAGCAGGCTGTAAGGGCAAGTGCTGTCAGTAGCAGCACCTACACACAGACAAAGCTCCCCCAGGTAGCCTCTAGCAGGCTGTAGGGGCAAGTGCTGTTAGTAGTAGCAGCACCTACACACAGACAAAGATCCCCCGTGTAGCCTCTAGCAGGCAGTAGGGGCAAGTGCTGTCAGTAGTAGCAGCACCTACACACAGACAAAGCTCCCCCAGGTGGTCTCTAGCAGGATGTAGGGGCAAGTGCTGTTAGTAGCAGCAGCACCTACACACAGACAAAGCTCCCCCAGGTAGCCTCTAACAGGCTGTAGGGGCAAGTGCTGTTAGTAGTAGCAGTGGCACCTACACACAGACAAAGATCCCCCAGGTAGCCTCTAGCAGGCTGTAGGGGCAAGTGCTGTTAGTAGCACCAGCTATGAAGGCCGGCATGGTACACGAGGGGGTGGGTGGTCAGCACCACGCCCGGCCGCCTTTGTCTCCCCAGTGATAGCGATGTTTACTACACACCGCACCAGGTACTCATTTGAGGCTGAGTCGACCTAGGGGAGGCCCAGGACCGGTTCAGAAAATCGTCACTGGGGGTGTTGGCCGTGAGCGGGAATCGAACCCGGGTCGCCAGGTTCATAGCGTGGTGAGTGGGTGGGTGAGTGAGTGGGTGGGTGGGTGAGTGGGTGGGTGGGTGAGTGAGTGAGTGGGTGGGTGAGTGAGTGGGTGGGTGGGTGAGTGGGTGGGTGGGTGAGTGAGTGAGTGGGTGGGTGAGTGAGTGGGTGGGTGGGTGAGTGAGTGGGTGGGTGGGTGAGTGAGTGGGTGAGTGAGTGAGTGGGTGAGTGGGTGAGTGAGTGAGTGGGTGAGTGAGTGGGTGAGTGAGTGGGTGGGTGAGTGAGTGAGTGGGTGGGTGAGTGAGTGGGTGAGTGAGTGGGTGAGTGAGTGAGTGAGCGAGTGAGTGGGTGGGCGAGTGAGTGAGTGGATGAGTGGATGAGTGAGTGAGTGGTGAGTGAGTGAGTGAGTGTGTGAGTGAGTGGGTGGGTGGGTGGGTGAGTGAGTGGGTGGGTGAGTGAGTGGATGAGTGAGTGTGTGAGTGAGTGGGTGGGTGGGTGAGTGGGTGGGTGAGTGGGTGGGTGAGTGAGTGAGTGAGTGGGTGAGTGAGTCAGTGAGTGAGCGAGTGAGCGAGTGAGCGATCAGCTGCTGCTTCTCACACCACTTGCCCCCAGAGGCTACCCCGATGCATTGGGCAGCTTTGCCTGTAGCTGTGTGTTGGAGCAGCTCACCGATAATGATGACGATGATGATGAGAAAAACAGCGATGAGGATAGCCCACATCTGGGGTGGGGAGGAGACACACTCAGGGTACAGCGGAGCTGAGACCCACCCACTACCACCCACTACCACCCACTACCACCCACCCACTACCACCACCCACCCACTACCACTCACCCACTACCACCCACTACCACCCACCCACTACCACCACCCACCCACTACCACTACCCACCCACTACCACTCCCCCACTATCACCCACTACCACTCACCCACTACCACCCACTACCACCCACTACCACTCACCCACTACCACCACCCACCCACTACCACTCACTCACTACCACCACCCACCCACTACCACCACCCGCTCACTACCACTCACCCACTACCACCACCCACTACCACTCACCCACTACCACCCACCCACTACCACTCACCCACTACCACTCACCCACTACCACTCACCCACTACCACTCACCCACTACCACTCACCCACTACCACTCACCCACTACCACTCACCCACTACCACCCGCTCACCCACTACCACTCACCCACTACCACTCACCCACTCACTACCACCCACCCACTACCACCACCCACTACCACCACCCACCCACTACCACTCACCCACTACCACTCACCCACTACCACCCACTACCACTCACCCACTACCACTCACCCACTACCACCCACCCACTACCACTCACCCACTACCACTCACCCACTACCACTCACCCACTACCACCCACTACCACTCACCCACTACCACTCACCCACTACCACCCACCCACTACCACTCACCCACTACCACTCACCCACTACCACTCACCCACTACCACCCACTACCACCCACCCACTACCACTCACCCACTACCACCCACTACCACCCACCCACTACCACTCACCCACTACCACTCACCCACTACCACTCACCCACTACCACCCACCCACTACCACCCACTCACTACCACTCACCCACTACCACTCACCCACTACCACTCACCCACTACCACTCACCCACTACCACTCACCCACTACCACCCGCTCACCCACTACCACTCACCCACTACCACTCACCCACTCACTACCACCCACCCACTACCACCACCCACTACCACCACCCACCCACTACCACTCACCCACTACCACTCACCCACTACCACCCACTACCACTCACCCACTACCACCCACCCACTACCACTCACCCACTACCACTCACCCACTACCACTCACCCACTACCACTCACCCACTACCACTCACCCACTACCACCCACCCACCCACTACCACCCACCCACTACCACTCACCCACTACCACCCACTACCACCCACCCACTACTACCACCCACCCACTACCACTCACCCACTACCACCCACCCACTACCACTCCCCCACTATCACCCACTACCACCCACTACCACCCACCAACTACCACCCACCCACTACCACCCACCCACTACCACCCACCCACTACCACTCACCCACTACCACCCACTACCACCCACCCACTACCACTCACCCACTACCACCCACCCACTACCACCCACCCACTACCACCACTCACCCACTACCACCCACTACCACCCACCCACTACCACTTACCCACTACCACCCACCCACTACCACTACCCACCCACTACCACCCACTACCACCCACCCACTACCACCACCCACCCACTACCACCCACCCACTACCACTCACCTACTACCACTCACCCACTACCAACCACTACCACCCACTACCACCCACTACCACCCACCCAATACCACTCACCCACTACCACCCACCCACTACCACCCACCCACCCTATACCACTCACCCACTACCACCCACCCACTACCACTCACCCACTACCACCCACTACCACCCACCCACTACTACCACCCACCCACTACCACCCACCCACTACCACCCACCCACCACCACCCACCCACTACCACCCGCCCACTACCACCCACCCACTACCACCCACCCACTACCACCCGCCCACTACCACCCACCCACTACCACCCACCCACTACCACCCACTCACTACCACCCGCCCACTACCACCCACCCACTACCACCACCCACCCACTACCACCCACCACCCGCCCACGACCACCCACTACCACCCGCCCACTACCACCACCCACCCACTACCACCCGCCCACTACCACCCACCCACTCACTACCACCCGCCCACTACCACCCACCCACTACCACCCACTACCACTCAATCACTACCACCCACTACCACTTACTACCACCCACCCACTACCACCCACCCACCACCACCCACTACCACCCACCCACCACCACCCGCCACCATCACCACCACCACCATCACCCACTACCACCCACTACCACCCACACCACCCACACTACCACCCACACCACCCACACTACCACCCACCTTACAGTTTCTCCACCACCCACACCACCCACCCACACCACCCACCTTACAGTTTCTCCACCACTACTACCACCCACACTACCACCCACTACCACCCACACCACCCACACTACCACCCACCCACCCACACCACCCACCTTACAGTTTCTCCACCACCACCACCACCACCACCACCCACACTACACCCACACCACCACCCACACTACCACCCACACCACTACTACCATCCACACCACCCACCTTACAGTTTCTCCACCCACACTACCACCACCCACCTTACAGTTTCTCCACCCACACTACCACCCACCTTACAGTTTCTCCACCCACCCCACCCACAACCACCCACTACCACCACCCACCTTACAGTTTCTCCACCACCCACTACCACCCACACTACCACCACCCACCTTACAGTTTCTCCACCACCCACTACCACCCACTACCACCCACACTACCACCCACTACCACCCACCCACTACCACCCACACTACCACCCACTACCACCCACTACTACCACCCACCTTACAGTTTCTCCACCACTACTACCACCCACACTACCACCCACTACCACCCACACCACCCACACTACCACCACCCACCTTACAGTTTCTCCACCACCCACACTACCACCCACCACCACCACCCACACTACCACCCACACCACCACCACCCACTACCACCCACACTACCACCCACTACTACCACCCACCTTACAGTTTCTCCACCCACACTACCACCCACTACCACCCACACTACCACCCACTACCACCACCCACCTTACAGTTTCTCCACCACCCACTACCACCCACACTACCACCCACTACCACCACCCACCTTACAGTTTCTCCACCACCCACTACCACCCACACTACCACCCACTACCACCCACACCACCACCACCCACAACCACCCACACTACCACCCACCCACTACCACCCACTACTACCACCCACCTTACAGTTTCTCCACCCACACTACCACCACCCACCTTACAGTTTCTCCACCCACACTGCCACCCACCTTACAGTTTCTCCACCCACCCCACCCACTACCACCCACACTACCACCACCCACCTTACAGTTTCTCCACCCACCCCACCCACTACCACCCACACTACCACCCACTACCACCCACCTTACAGTTTCTCCACCACCCACACTACCACCCACCACCACCACCCACACTACCACCCACACCACCACCACCCACTACCACCCACACTACCACCCACCCACTACCACCCACTACCACCCACCTTACAGTTTCTCCACCCACACTACCACCACCCACCTTACAGTTTCTCCACCCACACTACCACCCACCTTACAGTTTCTCCACCCACCCCACCCACTACCATCCACACTACCACCACCCACCTTACAGTTTCTCCACCCACCCCACCCACTACCACCCACACTACCACCACCCACCTTACAGTTTCTCCACCACCCACACTACCACCCACCACCACCACCCACACTACCACCCACACCACCACCACCCACACTACCACCCACCCACTACCACCCACTACCACCCACTACTACCACCCACCTTACAGTTTCTCCACCCACACTACCACCACCCACCTTACAGTTTCTCCACCCACACTACCACCCACCTTACAGTTTCTCCACCCACCCCACCCACTACCACCCACACTACCA